GATGCCTCGCATGAAAGCCTCTCCACCCTGTTTTAAGTAATAAGAGATTACAGGTAATCTCCTGGTAATGGCAGGTTGGCATTCCACTACAACAGGAGTGTCTGAGGCACCATAGGAGATGTTGTTTTGGGGCCAGAAGCCTCTTAATCCTTTCTTAACATATTAATTGGTTCATTGATCAGTGCAGAAAGGACTCAACAAGATCAGGGTGAAAAGGTGTTATTGTTTCATCTGTGTCTTTCTACATGTGAAGATGTGTGTGGGTACGTGTGTGGGTGTGCATATGTTTACACAGATGTGTGTCTACTTGCAGACACATACAGTATGCATTCGTGTACATGCCACTAAGGTTTATGGGTACTGTAGTTTTAAGGGCAAATTGACATTCTAAAAGGGGAAATTGTTGATCAGTTATCGTAGAGCTAATGGATGTATGGATGGATGAAATTAAATAAAAAGCATGGGCTCATTTGTTTATAGGTATCACATTAGGGTTTTTTTTAAACTATACGTTACACTTTTAACTACATGTCATTAAACGCAGAGTGTTTCCTGTCAGCAGCCATTCCTGTGAAACAACCAATTACCATTTTTCTCACCCTGCTATATAATTTCAACTTCCTGCAACAGGTGGGTGACATGTTTTTAAAGTCCAATGTAGTGATTTGATCTAAATGGCATATTGCTGCAATGACTGTAATAATAACCCCTCTCATCTGTTTTGGTAATACAGAGGCACAGTGGCTTATGATGATGGGGAGGGCAGTGGTAACTAAATGACTGTATGTGTGTGTACGAAGAAGGCAGTCTGTTTTCCACCTCATTTCCTCTCTGCCATCCCGCCACTGGCTATCTTTCACCGTAAAGCCTGGTTCAACTTCAGCTGCGACCTTGTAGGAAATAAATCTAACAGTAACAGCATGATTAATCCTGCAGCACCCTCTGAGAAACATTATTGAGCAGCTCTCTTCCGTGCCCGATAATGTTTTTCTGGAGGGAAAGCTGAGCTGTCCTCTGGCATCCTCTGTGGTCTTAGTGGGTGTTTGTGATGTGTGTTCTTATACTTGTGCTGGTGTGTAAGCTCTTGCCAGTCCAGGCAGATGTGAAGGATGGATTTACTCGCACCGCTGCCAAATTACAGTTGTCTTTTGAAGGGCCCTGACCCCGAGATAAATGGCCGCCTGCAGCGAAAACTCCTTTTAATTTGATCACAGTGCAACGTTACTACTTGCGCTCTGCAAATAAACCTGTATGGCAAAGATGGAGTGCATACCAACCCAAGTGACCCATACACTGCAAAAAATAAGTACAGCTGCCAACTGTTTATATTTTTTAAGTGGAACGATTTAAGAAACAAAAACAACAGAATTTTTTTACTTTTAATTTTCTTACTTGTGAAAATGGACATGTTTTTGCAGTGGTTTATTTTAGCGTGCCCACTTTGTTATTACAGACTGCTTCAAATGATCTGAGATGAACGACCCCTGTGTGCGGGGGCTCTTTTCAGGAAAATGATGATGAAGTTCTCACATTAAAACATGGCATCGGCATCATGTTTATTCTGCGTTAGTGATTCATACAAGCCAGCCAAGAGCAGCAATGGAGGGGGTTTCCAGTGCTATTCAGTAAATATTCAGTAGTCTTTGTGTGATTCACCTGAAAGGTCATCAAGTAGCATGTCGAATCATTGCTCAGCCCCGTGCTGATTGGCTGGTTGCCTGCTCTTCATTGTTGGTTGCTCATACGGAGCAGTAGGTTGTACTGATTTGCTGTTTGGAGAAGATTTAGACCTGTCACACACATGCACACTCACACACATGCACACGGTGGTTTTAAGGCAGTGGGGGTTATAGGATTATGAAGAGGAGAAGTGAAAATTCCTGTTTGGGAGATCTGCTGAGGCTTAAGTTTCCCCATCGCACATGTCACGGTGGAAAAACTCCCAGGAGGAGGTGGGGATCGAAGCGTCAATCCCACAATAGGCTTAGGGTAAACACAGAGGTATTCAGTGACCTAAATAGTGCTCTCTGGCTTTCTTTTAGCCCAGCTTGTGTTTCTTGCTTGTGTCGCTCTGAATTGTAACGTTGCCAAGCAACTATTTATCCAATGCTTGCAGTAACAACATACCTGAGTATTTTTCATGACATAAAAGCCAGTGGATCATATGCTTTCGCATCCATGGTTGACTGTGACTAAGCTGCAAAAACACATTTTAAATCTCTCTGTAGAAATAAGTTTTACAGCTCAATGGAGACCTTGTATCCAATGCTAATCTCAAATTACTATAGAAGTAATTTACTATAGAGCATGGAAATTTTGAAGCTACCCAAAAATAGCAGCTTATAACAATAAAGGTACAAATAAAATAGAAGAATTTCCAAAAAAAAAGAATCATAAAAACATTTGCAACAAAGAATGTCAACTACAATACATGTTAAAAGAAGTGACACGCATCTATTGCAGCATGTTTACATGCAATATAAAACATGGATGTACTAGAGTGAACATTTTATTCACCAGAATAAGATCAGGTGGCAGATGTGCAAAGATAGAATGCAGAGAAGGATTCCTGTCTACCTCCATCTTTCCGTGTCAGTGAGATAAAGTACTAAAACAGTGTCCCACTCCTCCAAAAAAAGCTTCCAGTTTTGTTTAGAGAGCGCTGCAGCTACAAGGGAACATGCATTACAAAGCGGGAGCACTTGAGTGACTAAGCTGGATGTCATCGTCTGAGAGAGAGAGGGAGAGAAACATTGCAGGGGCCTGTAAGAACAGAGGGAACAACACTCATCTCACCACCGACTGTCAGCCACACAGTCATCTGAAATGGCTGCGTGTGTCAACACCTCCAAGAATCACTGTTCCTACTTCTGTGTGTGTGTGTGTGTGTGTGTGTGTGTGATGCGTGTCGTCACCTGAGCGCACAGCAGCAGTGAGGAATCTGAAAGGTATAAATCAGTATGTTCTGCAGAAGTGTGCGTGTGCATGCATGCATGTATGTCATCATCTACGATTCTTTCATGTCTGTGTGTGTACACCAGATGTTTGTGTGAGTTGCATGAATGTGTTTTTGCAGTGTATGTGTTTGTACAAATGTGTAAATGTGCTCCTGCATAAATTATTAGCAGTGTGTGATGGATGGTGCTTACAATACCTTAAGAAGTAATAAAAGTAATGACAATTATACTATAACATTCCCTTTAAGTAACTTTAAGGTGGTTAAAATGATCTCGTCTGACACTATCTGACAGTATCATAAATAGGCTAATCTGTTTTTCACTTGTGGTTCTTTATTGATGCTATATGGTGTTCACACTGAACTCTCTGTTATGGCTCCTTTCTATAAATGCTAACATTGTAGAAGTCTTGTGCATAATTTTGTAAGAGCCCCCCAAAATCAGTCCAGCGCCTTTGGTGGCTTTAGAACTTTGGCATCTTCAAAAGAATTTATAGTTATTTTGGGTTTCAACAAGCTGCATAGTCTGAGTTTGTAATTACTAAACCACCAGCAGACTGGTGATTGTTAAAGGAATAATTTGACGTTTTGAGAAAAATACTTACTCACTTTTGGGGTTCAGTGAGAAGACTGATACCACCCTCACATTGGTGCATTAAATATGAAGCTAAAGCCAGGGGATGATTAGCCATCATACAAACTGGAGGCAGGGGGAAACAGCTAGCCTGGCTCTGACATAAACATAACAAAAAAACAACAAACAAAGAAAAAAAAAGAAAACCCCAAAAAACAACAACTATCAGCACGTCTAAAGCTGACTAACTAACTTCAGGCAATAAAGTGAATATTTATGTATTTCCTAAAATGTTGAACATTACCCTTAATGGGTAACTTATTTTTCAACCTGGACCCCCATGTTTTTGTGTCTTAAGTGGCTAATGGAGACAACAATGTTTGAAATTGGTCCAGTATTTAGGAAGAGCAGCCATGGACAGGCTGCAATGTGTATCACTTTAATACACTAAAAGTACTTGTTTTGTCACTGACTTGCTAATATACCAAAAAACTTAAATTAAAAACCCAGTCTTAGTTAGACATCTAGTCATTTTTACAAGCCAGGTGTGGCTACACATTTTACAAATAAAGGCCTGTCTCAATTGGATGCCCGGTCTGTTTGCCAAGCAGTTCATTTTATAGCAGCTCTTTGGATGAATAAAACCGGATTGTTGTCTACCCACTTGAGCTGACGTTAGCTGTTTGGATTGCACATACAAATATAAATGTTTAACTTGTCAATATAGAGATGCTACACATTGCTGATTTTTACGTTTTTTTAATTTTATTTTACTTAAACCATGAGCACTGGAGAAGACCCCAGATTCATTTAAATTTACCAACATGGTGAAAAAACAAGCAGGGGATCCTGCAATCTGCACTCACCAGAGTTAATTAAGTTTTTTTTAACCAAACCAGAGCTGGTCATTGTTGAACCAGTGGAAAGATACACCAAGATGGATTTCAAAGGTTTTATTTTGTCTCTGTTAACTTTGAATGAAGTGTGTTTTACGACTCTGAAATTTCTGTTTATTTAAATGGAGTCTGGTGAGTGTGGTGGTAGTGATTTCAGGGCTGATTCTGCTTACACAAAAAGGATCTTATTCTTTAACAAAAAGGCCTATCACTGTAGGGATCTTTCCCATAATGTTGTCAGACACTTAGCATAACAGTGTGAGCCCATCAGTGGTAAAAACAAGCACATTCAATTGCCCAACAATGTTGCATTGCAGCTGGTTTCACCTCCAACAGCTGCAGCGCTCTCATTCAATCTTGAACCAGTTTCAAAAACTGTTCTCCTCATTACTCATGTAGACACAAAAAGATAGTAAAATAAGGTCCAGGTTGAAAAATACCAAAGTTACCCTTTAACGGGTTAAAATGAGTGATTGCAATGAGTCACCCTCCTTTTTTTTTTTTTTTTTTACCGTTTACCGTTTCATCGTAGACATCAGTTTCTCACTTTCTCTCAGTCTTTTTTCCTGCTTCATCTTTTTTTTTTTTTTTTTTTTTTTTTTTTTTTTTAACCACAGGGTGCATCTCCTGGTTTCTGCCAAGGGAACATTGCTGTCATTGAGAGAGAAGAGGACTCATCATGCTGCTGCTATTCCCACACTACAGTCTGGCTCCAGAACTCAGCACAAACATGCTTATGATAAGGACACAATAATCTGCCATGTTGTTCTTTTAGTAGTAATTGACTTCTGGCAGCAGACTCTGTCCAGCATTTTTTCGGACAAAATGTCCAGAGGTGAAAATGACACCATGACACCAGCTGGCACTTCTGTTGACCTCTTCACATTAAAGAAAAATACACAGAGAATTTAATGTACTCTACACCCCATTTAATGCCACCGAAGCTTAAGATATTCAACCACCCATGAGAATATTGGACTCTGCAGCTTGCGCTGGACAGTGGAGGTGATGCTGAGATCAGTGTTTGGCACGCGGTGCCCCTCCAGGTCAATCAGAGTTTAGCCAAGCAACATGGGAGCAGAGCAGCGCAGAATGTTCTGCACACAGGGGAGTTTTCTCAGGTGATTTGAGGGCATGGATGATCTCCGTCTTCAGCCAGTGGAGGGCCTGGTATTGCTGGGAGTGGTGCTGGTGTTAGCGGGAGTCCTGGCTCCTGGGAATGAGGTCATGGCACAGGGACTCCAGCGTTCCCCCTCGGCTCTGTCGGGCCCTGAGGCTCCCTCACATCTGTGTGCTGTCTGACCCAGTGGCAGGCAGCTGCTCCCTCTCATTATACCCCCTAATGGATGGATCCGTTTCCCTCTGACCTCATCCTGCCTCCACAACAACATCCCTCCATCGCTTCGTCATGATGCTCCTTCATCCAGGCACAGACCCCCTTTTCTTCCAAGTCTGAAGCGCTGAGCAGCCGCAACTTGGCCTGCAGTGGAAACAAGGCTTTGGATTACAGCCCACAAATTACAGTGTAATTATTTAGTATACACAGTGTATCAGTGATATACTGAGTGGATTACCAATATGTAAGTACACGTGAAGAAGGCAGAGTGTTAGGTAAGAGGGAGTAATAACTTTGTGTTTAATAGAGAAACAATATAAATGATAATTTTAATTAATATAGTTTTTTTTATAGTTAGCAGAGATAGAGCAGGGTGGTGGCCTCTGGGGCTCCAGCTCTGACTATTTTCTCAAAAGCCCCAAAGCTATGCTATTCTACAAGAAAATCTAATCGAATTGAGTAAATGTTTTGCTGGTCTGGTTTGCAGGTTTCAAGATAAGTAATGCTGATTATGCTAAATTCCTACCCTGCCTGTGTTATGTAAATTAAAAACAGTGACAGACATTTTTTTTCTCGTCTTTTTAGGTGGCAAGAGTGGAAATTAGTCATCCTCAACATTTGTTGTGTTATGGTTTCAGAATGATGAAGACAGTTGGAGGACAGCTAAGCTCCTTTCCCACTGCACAAAAAAAAATCCATTAACACCTGTTAACATCTGTTTTTTTTATTTAATGGGAAAGGTTACAATTGGCATTCACTCCCGGGTCAAATGACTCAGCAGTAGTCACGGTATTTATCAACTCAAGCTCCGATCGGCAGTGATGGAACAACCCGGTCTCAGTCCAAATTCGTCGAAATCCTCAGCTTGGTCAGTGACTTCCAGTATCCATCCTTTCATGTTGGCATGATATTCAGCCAGTCGCCTTTATGGTTTGATGATGCTCGGCGGCTTCAGGGGGAAATGCGGCGGGACAACAATGAAAGTTAAGGCGGCGGAGGTCTGCGTAGGGCTTGTGGGGCGGGTGGTGGATGGGTCCAACAACCACTGACTTTCACCTGGGAGGCCTGTGTTTATCTCCAGTAAGATTGAGCCAAACCCTGTTATTTTTTCCTAAACCTAACCAAATGCTTTTGTTGCCTAAACCCAACCACATGTATGTGTTGGTAAAATGAAGCCGTGTATGTCTGTTGAAGGAACAAAACGCTAATTGACAGTGTTGTACCAATGTAGTGCATTTATTTTGAAGGTTTGTATGCAAATAGTACATTTTCTGTGAAAATGGAAGTCTATTTTTAAAAAAGACAATACATGTAGCAGGGAGAACTTGCCACGGTATCCCAGAATGTCAACAACCAATGTACCCAGGGTACCAAGGTTGCACGTTGTATCTGGACATGGAAAGTCAACGACCAAACGTCGGTATGTGACGAGGTCGGAGTGAGAATATGTTGGATGGAAATAGGACAGCCAGGTGGGCGCACTAATTTTAGCCCCAATGTTGGCGAGATGCAATGACAGACATCCATAAAATACTGTCCATCTCCAACCAAGCAGTGCTCGAACATCATTCTGAATTACTTGGCAAAGATTTTAAAAGAGGGACTGAATAAGTTAGAGATATAAAAAAGGAGTAACCACCTAACATTTTCACTGGCCTCCATGCTGCTTTCTGCTGTTTACTACATTGTTTTCTAGCCGGTCCGGGATGCCAAATATGGTACACCAGAAAAAAACACTGGTCTACTGGCAATGGGAAAAGAGTCTATCACCCACTTTAGCAGGATTATCCCTTGTAAGAGACCTCGCAAACATGCCCTAATTTTGGTGGAAAAAGGGGTATTAGATACAAAACAGGATTTAGGCTCTACAGGAAGATGTCTTTCCCTCGGCAACTATAATGTATTTTCCAAAGGATGTACAGATTTCATTCTCTTAAATAGCTTGAAAAACTCCTCAGGAGCATACCTCCAGGCTCCCCTAGGTTTGGGCAGTGCCCCAGTTTTTTAAAGTTTACACCTTTTGGCTCCAACTCTGATGGTTGGGGTTAGGGATGATATAATTTTTACATTATTAGCCCCTTTTCTGCTGCAGGAGCTTTTATTTAATCACCTGGGATTTAGAAAAACCTTGGCGCGTTTCCACCAAAATTACCCGGGGAAAACTTTCCCTCAACCCCAAACTTTCCTTGAAAAAAGTACCGAGTAGGGGGGTAGGACTTTTCAGATTCCCTGGAATTCTTGAGGGGCAGGGCCGTGTGCTGAAGAACAGTGATTGGTGGAACACACACTTGCAGCGTTCCACACTTCCCCCAGTGTGGCTGCAAACTATATTTCATTTCTTCAAGCTTCACTTCGCTTGTGTTCTGATTAAGGATGGGGACCAAAACCCAGTACTAAATTAGCCCTGGGGCTAAATTATCAAAGACCATAGTATTGATAAGCACTAATGGTAATGGTTCTCCTCTGAGCTCTGTGCCAACCCTGATCTCCTCCACATACACACACACACACTCCTACACGACAAGGTAACCAGTGAACAGCCGAGCGGCCCCAGTGGAAACGAAGTGAAGATAACTCAAAAATGACTCGAGTTGACGGCAGCTGCACTCATTACTGTAAGTGACGTTAACCCTTAGCGAGAAAGAAGCCAATACTTTATCAATACATGTGTTCAGCAAGCATGAACATGTAAACATGTAGACAGTGATATTCAATATGCTCCGTCCACAGTCTCTGATCCACTGTTACTAACGTTATGTCTTACACAAGGACAACACGCTAGTTCAGCTGATAGAAAATTGTTACTAATAAGCTCAAATGACAGCTGTCTGTATGGAGACTAACTTAGCTTGACACTTATCTTAAAATACGTTTAAACTTAGCTGCTGGCTGAGACAAACAGCCCCTCCTCTCTCTACCAGCACTAATGTTACAATGTGGAGCTAAATATAAGGGCACACGCTGAATCATCTACGCCATCAGCCTGATTTGAATACATTTTCCGGAACATTGAGGTGCGGTGGAAACACAAACCACACAGATTACCAGGAATTCTTTTACCCAGGTAAATAAATTCCTGGTAATAAAAGTTCCTGGAAATGTTTATGCAAAAGGGGCTATTGTTGTTGGGAAACAAAATTAGGTCTTTGAAGACGGGTGCCCTTACAGCTATAAAAGGTATGTTTATGTTTTAAAATAGGATGATTAATTACTGGGGTACTGCAATGTAATTGTGGCATCCAGTGTAGGATCTACATGACAATCAAAACTGATGCTAAAGAAGAACCTAGATGAGCTCTTTTGTCCTGTATCATCAGATCATTAAAAATAAAATTGTTGCTATATATAGCAATATATTCTTTAAATACAGTGCCATTTAGATCTGTGCTTTCCATTAAATTCAAATGTGTTACCTCCTTATGTAGTGTACTTCTTACTTCTTCCCTTATACGTATGTATCTTCTCAGTTATTTCACTGGTACCCAGTATTTTTAAACACACATTGAAACTGTAATTTTTTGGCGGTAATCTAAACTGAAATATTTGTCTCATGCCACCAGTTCATGAGTTAAACATAAATCTTTTGTGTCAGTGATGTGTGGTTTTAAGGATCATCCACATTAAACTAACCAGGTCATACTTTATTTGTAGAGCACATTCAGTGATTTGTTTTCCTTTACAATAAAAGCAAAACACACACACACAAAAGTCACACAAGCCTGCAGTTATAAACACCAGATACTTGCTGATGCATACACAAAACTTCTCCATTCATTTTTTCTCTTCTCCTTTTCACCCTCCTCATCTGTATTATTTTCCAATTATTTTTCCTTGTTAAAAGTGTGCTTCACTGAAAGACATATCACCTTCATGTCTTCATTCCTTTGTGATCTCTCCACAGTTAAAAAAAAAATACCTTGGAAATGCATAGCTGTGAGTGTTTTCACCTATAGTGGCTGACTGTGTGTGTGTGTGTGTGTGTGTGTGTGTGTGTGTGTGTGTGTGTGTGTGTGTGTGAGCATCAGTATGTAGCATTTATCTTGTGTCCAGTCCATTGAAAGGGGAAAGAAAAGGTTGGAGAAGAAAAAGGAGCTGTGTTCTCTTCGGAGCTCTCCACCTGTGTTTGCCACTGAGTAAACAGGAGCTGTTGTCACAAGTGGAAGACAGCTTGCGGTTTGCTCTTTGGAATTGAATTTCAAGTTCTCTCGGCTCTTTTGATTCCGCCACAGAAGGCAAAGCGAGCTATCAACACGCCCTCCCATCGCGGCTTCTCCCAAGGCGTGATGGATAGAATCAGTAATGCCTCGGTCTACCCAAGATATTTGTCTTTATCATTAGCACAGGCCTGCTGCGTTTGAAGCGCTGTCTGAGAGGCAGGCTCGGACCATTTATAGGCCGGGAGGCTTTTTTTTTTCCGGAGAGCTCATCTCTTCTCATCTCATCATGTCTCCTCTCAACTCAGACTTGCTGAGATGCAGATTGAGGAATTGCTCTTTTATCGCACAGCTTCTGTGTTTATTACCAAGCGGCTACGATCCATCACTCCCATTGGTTAGCCGCAGCACAGCAGACCTGTCAATCAACAAGTGTGGCTGGTTGGGCACGCCTGGTGATCAATGGCTTGAGGTGTAGACCAAGAAAGAGGGAAACAGAGAAAATGGATGATGAAGAAAGAAGCAGAGGATTGAAAGACAGAAAGAAAGTGAATTGGAGGCCATGATAATCTCCTCTGCAGATGGGGGGAAGAAAAAAAAAAGAGAAAATGGGGGGTATTATGGGCCTTGTGATGATCCATGGGAGATCTTGAATGCATTTCAGTGATGCAATTCCTGGGATACTTGAGTGTGTATGAGTGTGTGCGCGGAGGGCGGGGGTGTGGGGTAGACAGAAAAAGTCCAAAATAAAAGCGCAGCGGCAAAACATTTGGTTGCCAGGCAACAGGCTTCAAGCAACGGTAGTATTGAGTTATGAAGAATTGTAGTGCATGACTCGACTTCCCCGATCAGGTTTCAGGATGGTGTCAGGGGCAGGGCGGTGGGGGGGGGGGCAAAGACAGAGCAATGCCTCCACCTGTCCTGATTTGTCAGGGCCAGTGAACAATGGCACTGGCCGCCACAGACTTTGTCTCTAGGGGCCTGACGCTG